CCATGTACAATTCTGGTGCTATGATTTTCCTTTGGTGAGCCCAAATGGTCCATTTGAGGTCAGAATGCCTTGGCCAAGCAAAGAACCACGCTCTTTGGCTTGATATGAAGGCTTCCCCAGGTCCAAAGATGTGCATGTGGTTATTTCTCTCACCATATCAGGTTGAGTCAATTCTAATATTAGTGTGTTACCCAGAGAAAACATGAACTTTTCGCCTGTATATACATCAAACAAGGACAATGAATACATAAAATCAAATGAATAACAAAAGAAAGAAAATTAAAAACTGATCAATGTTACATTATTTTTTTCGTAAGTTTAATTTTATTGAATTATCAGAGAGTGATTACCATATGATTCTGATTACCATATAATTTTATTGAATTGAGATCGGTGTGAAAACTCTTCCCATTCAGATTAAAAGTCCTAAAACAAAATATTCAAACTTGGCGACTCGGACTTATTGTAACATTCTTAGTCCAAACTTGCCAGCCAGCCACCACAAACTCAGGTTTGTCCAATGAACATAGGCATCATTCGTGGAGAAATTATACAGTCGGCGCGTATAATACGCAAATGTTATGCAGTGTATATCACCAATAAATGTTATGTATTTTTAATAAAAAAATTATCATCTATCACTTTATCAAATTTGTTTTTGATAAAGTCTAAGTTGATGTGCAGGGTCATACGATGTCTATAGTTTTCAATGAAACTGCGTAAGTACTGTAATCGAAAAGAAAGTAGTAGGAATAACATTTCTGAAAATCTTTTTACCCATTTATCACAAAAATGGATAGTAAATGAAGAAATAAAGTTACAGTTATATATGGAGGGACATATCATGTTTTATTTTTGTAAATTAATTAATACTTAATATGAATGATGAACTGAGAAGATGAATATGCAAGAAAAAAAATACCATATTGCTTTTGCCATTTCTCGAAGAAGGGAAAAAGAACATTGGCACAGTCGTGGTTCTCTGGAGCTCCACAGGTTGGTGGCTTTGGGGTTCTGGATTTCTTGATCTCCAAGATGTTTCCTAGTAAAATAGTCGGCGGCGGTCCCGTTATCCCTTGCTTCCTCAACGCTGCTTGAAGCTTCTTTGGCTTCGCCACTAGTGCACTATACAGACGTATGAATAATCCCACTATTCCAACAACAGCAATGGACACTAACACCTTCAGTACAACTTGGCCCTCCATTGCCAATCTCTCTCTCTCTCTCTCTCTCTCTCTCTCTCTCTCTCTCTCTCTCTCTCTCTCTCTCTCTCTCTCTCACACACACAGAGAACACACGCCAGAGAGAGAAAATGGGATCTTGGGATAGTGGGTTGTTGAACTTCAATGTCCAGAGTCACTATAATATAGTGGAAGGCCAGGATAATATGGTCATTGAACAGGAAATATCGTAGGTAAGATGGTATGACCGCATAGAAAGAATGGGTTTTGTAATGGAAGAACAGCGCCGTCAAAGTGGAATGAGCAGAGGAGTTTTGTTTTGAGTAATGTTATTTGGATCTAAAAATTTAATTTAAATTGTTGACATAATGACGTAGGTTAATAAGAATTATTGGATTAACACCAAGTTTCAATATTTGATAAAGCTTACAGTCAATTCAAATATCATAGTGAATTAAGTTAGATTTTTTGGTCTTAATAACATTAATGTTTGTTTTTTATTTGTGTAAAAAAAAAAGGAAATGAGGAAGAAAAATAGGTTCAACCAACAGCGGCTTTGCTGGTCTAAATCAATGAAGTATTGCTGGTGCAATATGACTTTTGTGAATTTCATTCAAAGTTGTTAGGCTTTTGGAAAAAAAAAAAACAAAAGGCTGCTTGAATTTAGGCTCTCACTCAATCTTCTTACCATAAGATGACAGAATTTGTTTTTGATGGACATGGGTTGTTGTGATGTGGTCTCTTTACATGGAGTAGCACATCTCATTCTATGTTACACTATTGTCCTCGAATAATGTTATTTAAATTTAATTTATTAATTGTTATTGTTTTGATTATATTAATTTTTTGTTATTCTACCCATTTTATAAAGTATTTGACTTGATTTAACAACATATATTCAATATTCAGAAGATCCTTTACCTGAATTCATACATATTTATGTGAGATTTACTGTAACTGGTCTATTTGAAAATATTTGTACCCAAATTTTTTCACAATGACCTTCATTTTATGTCATTGCTCGTAGACCTGTTTCAATTTGTCTAAATGTTATTCAAGTAGGTTCAAGTGCTTGAAGAACATATTTAATGAATAATTTTTTTAATTAAACCAACAGATAAATACCAATTAATGGTGTTATTGACTATCCTTTGTCTTTTCTGATGTGAACTGCAAAACTACATTAATGTGCCTTATCTCTCTAGTCAAGGGTCTTTATTCTAACATTTCATTATACACAAACACGATCATATAAGGTTTGTTAGTGACATATTTTAACTTAATTCAAGTTATGGTGATCAATTGTTAAGTTTGAGAGAGTAATTGACGCAAATATAAATACTCTATATAAAAAAAAAAAAAAAAAGAGTAAACATGATCGGCTATGGTTTGAGGATGGTTTTGCAAATATATTTTTGTTTTTCTTATTCAAAGTTCTTTTTAACTGATTTTTAGATATTATTTTTTCCGTTCTTATTTTTTTTTTGTCTTGGGTTTGTTCATTTGCTTCACACCTAGAATGGTTTAGAAATTAAATGTAATACTTATACATTAAAATGTGTATACAAATTATTTTTACAAAATTATAATAAAAAAAGATTTAATTTTTTGGCAAAATAATTATTTTTTTTCTTAAAAAAACAATTAGTATTATTCCAATATCTATTTTATTAAAAATGATCGGAATTACTATGAATAAGAATATAAATTGTGGTCACGATATACATATACACCAAATTTATTACATAAACAAGATACTCTATATAATTTATATCTTTCTTTCTCCCTTCCATGCTCCCCTACTTGACCATATACCGATGTCATCTTCTTTATTTTCTACTTTTTTATCTTATTAAATAAAACTAAAAACAAAAACTCAATTTTTTTTACTAAATATTTATTCTAAGAATATCGAGTCATATAACCAATGGAATTGTAGGATATAACCATGTTATACGCGTATTGGTTGGAAAATGGAGAATGAAATAGATAGGATAAAAAATAAGGGAAAAGATTAGCTCAAAATAATTCAAGTGAGAATAGAAACGAATAATAAATTTATATGTCTTGAGTTTAAATTTAAGTAGCTCTTTAAAGTCAGATAATAAGTGATTTAACTTTCCTAAATATCTTACTTTTAATGAGGATGAATTCCCTTCGATTCAACAAAAAAAAAAAGTTACTCAATATGTTTAAGCTAATCCAAAGACTAAAGGTTGAAATGGGTACAAAAAATTAGTGGGTATCCAATCATGTTTGTGACCAAGTGAATGGGTGTAGTCACTTGGCATAAATGTCAAGATTGGCTAGCTCCTACGAGCATTGAATAATGGATGGTCGTCTTGGTTTGTCCTTTCTCTGCCACGTGACAAACTCTTCATAAATTATTTTCAAAAATAAAAAAAATAATTTTTAAGATGCAAATCAAATAAGACCCTAATTTTTTTTTAATTAATTCAATAGTTTAGTGAACTAATAATTCAACAAATGAAAAAAAAAAATCTCAAATTATCTTTCACAATCAAAGACAGAAACTTCGTGTTGGGTGAAAAGCACTACATTTGGACCAACCACTACGTTGCTGCACTAATTTTTATATCTGTTTTTTCGCCTAACAACATTGAATATTATGGTTGCTGGCCGGCCCGACTAACAAACTATTAGTTGGCCACCAACGTGCCAGTGAAAGGAGTTGTCAACATTATTTATTACTTGGCGGGCCATAATGTTTTCAATTTTAAATTTGTGCCAATAAAATATGTAAAAAAATTTATTTTATATTTTTAAATATTAGATTTTATACATTGTACCTTAAATATATTAAAAGTGTTACAATGTAACCCTTATGTTAAATTCTGTTACTTGTTCTGTCAACTTCAATAATATAGTTTTTGGCAGAGTAAGAAACGAAAACTAACATAAGGACACATTGTAATATTTTTAATATATTGACGGTGCAATATGAAAAATCTAATTTTTGAAGATGCCACACTAAAAATCTTAAATATTTTAAGGTACAAAGTGCGATTCTCCCTTTTAATTCCCTCATATATTTGATAAGGTGCAATTTAAGCGGATGAATCAAAAAATACGCTAAAATATTTAATACTTGAACAAATATTTATGATAATCAAGCAAGAAAATTTCATTCCAATCTCAATTGGGGCAATAGGTAGGTTGAAATTTTAGATTTTTGTAATCGGATCCGAATTAATTATTTTAGGTTTAACTTGAATTTTACCTTGATTAACATAACCCAATAATCATAGCCCAATTGAACTTGAATTTCAACTCAAGAAGTTGTAAGATATAAAAAATTGAAAAGTACTTGAATTGAAGGATTTAGGTTGAAGTCGAGTTCATGTTTACTCAATTTGAGGGGTTGTTTCCGATACTTGCATGCAATGTTATGCCAACTATTCAGAAGAGGAGAGCGATGAATTGCTAAGAGAATTGTGGAGATCAAATGTTTGTCTTAGACCTAGTAAAAGGGGCGTAACGTAGGTGAGTCAATCCAAACGTAACCTATGCTCAATTGAAATTTGGTGTTTGGGCGAAAATTTTCAATTCTCAAGCTAGGTTTGGGAAAACAAACAAAATTAACTAAAAATTAGGGCAGTACTTAACTTGAGGTTTTGAGTTTTCGAACCCCAATCTGAACTTATCTCGAATTCATAATTTAAGGTAATCTCAAATTCACTAATGTATTTCAACCCGATAATCATACTTGAACTTCGGTTCATATTAATCTAAATAGAGTAATCCAAGAAAAATCTAATTAAGCACAAATAGTGCCAAGGTTGAAGGTTGGCTTCATATTTAGTTCGGGATGATAATTTTATAACTTGGGTTGAGTTCAAATAGACCTCTTAAATTTGGTGTAGGCCCCATCAAATATTGAAATTTTGTATTAATCTAATGATTCTTATAAAATTATATCATTGTGTCAATAAATTATGTCAAATTTTTAGGTTCAAATAGCATTACTCTAAAGGCAAAACATGAACTCCTAATCTTTTAGAGAGTAAATATTCAATGCAACAGTGATGACGTGTATTATCCCTGTTAAGTGATGTCACAATTCAATTAGAAAACTATAAGTGGGCAAAGTGATAATCCTAAGTTGATTATTACAGTACATAGATATAAATTTGGTCTCGTACCTGATTGGTTCCTAAATTATAGAGTTGAATATTCTTAAGCTTCATTACTACCTCCTGTAGTTTAGGATAAGTCTTCTAAAGGAATAATAAGCTATATAGAAGAATCAGTAAAAGATTAGATTTGAATGTGCTTGACTAAGAAATTTTCTATGTGTGCCATGAGGATTATTTCTGGTGGGGTCCTTTAAACTTACGTCGAGATTATCAGTATCTTTCGACAATTTTTTTTCATATATTGATCTTACATAGTGAATGAGGGATACCCATTTTTTCTATTACACTTCCACTTGATTTAAAATGGCTATCCAATTTGACCAGGCTGCAAGCAAACTTTGCTAGTGTGGGAATCAGAGTGAAAACACTATAGAGCAAGTCTCACAAGAGAGAAGCTCAACACAGTCCAGTCCCCTAAACAAACGTCAAATTCTCACAAAGTCAAGAAACTAGAGAAGCTAAGAAATTAAACCACGAATAAAGTCTCTATGACATTTGCCCACAAGTATTAATAGGACAACTTCTCTTGTGCAACAGGAAGCCAAGTCTCTTTTAATGCAAAAATGGAAACCAGTCCATAAATATCTTACTTTATACATCACTGAGGAAGGTTCCTTTAATTATCATGAAACAAAGTATTGCACTCAAGGCAAGGTTCACAGCTTCTTCACTAAAAGGTTCACTCCCTGTGCTGGTTGTATGACCAAATGTAGAGCTGGTGAGTGAGCGTATGTTGAAGAGAGAGAGAGAAAGAGAAGTTGGACAAAATAAGAGAGTTCAATATCTTTAGCTCAACCAAAGCCAAGTTCTGTCCAAGATACACTCTTGGTCCGACCCCAAATGGCATGTACAAGTGCTGGAAGCTTG